GGGAAAATCCCCCCAAAATTCAAGAGCCCACCAATGTGGGACAAATTTGCCAAACTTCAACATTATACACGTTTACTTAATTCATAATTAATTAGGAATAGTAATCAAATTAATATAATAGGTTTTTCTACTTCCCGCTAAATTAGGTTTCGTACTATTATAAATAGTGATATTGTTAGCTTATTTTAAGCGTGAAAAAGTGTGTGAAGAATTATAGAGAATGTGTGAAGAAGAGGAGAATTGTTGAGATCTTTTTAGAAATTTATAGCAAACTATTTTCTCCGTCATTTACTGTTTTTTTCCAAATATAGCAGTTACTAACGTCTTTCATAGAACTGAGAAGTTAGGGTTTAGTAGGGTAATATTGACGCAGCCTTTCCTTGATGGAAAGCCAAAGTGCTTGAGCTTGACCGCTTGGACGAATGTGGCTATTATACACATGGGGGACTTTGTTTTGACTTTTCCAAGAATGTTTACAAGGCAATGTTGATTATGCACCATCAGACCCCCGATTATGGTGGTGAATTCGTTATAGTTGCTAGTCTTAAAGACAAAAGATGGAGGACAGTTAAATTCCCTTTATGATAACCCCTGAGTAGAGAGACTGTTTCCAAATAGACTCCGGCATCCTTCCCTCCAAGAACTTCTCACTTTGCTCTTGGGGAGACTCGAACTCACAACCTTTGGTTGGAAGTGGAGGTTGCTTACCATCAGAGCAACCCCTCTTGTCTCAAACGACTTCACTACGGTGTAAAGGTTAAAAAGAAAGACGAGAGTGTGGGATAGTTTTGATCCTTGTAACGAAATAATTTATTTTGATTCTATCTCTGAAAAATTCCACATGTTTCCCGTCCCTGAGCCTAAGAGTGATCAAGGAGAGAACGCTATAGTTGGTTTAGGAGTTTTAAATGAATGTCTAAGTATGGCTTGCATGAAAGATGATAAGGTGGGTGTTGAGATACTGGTCATGAAGGAATATGGAGTAAAGGAATCATGGACTTCTTTATTTTTCATAAGGAATTTAAAAATAAACCCTTCATATGGAATTGTAAAGCCGTTTTTCATGACAGCAGATGGAGAACTAATTTTGGAGATATATGATCTTGAAGAAAAATTTGTTGTATACAATCTGAAGAATGATAATACGCAAAACCTTCGTATTCGCGGAGAGAAAGTATCTATATGTGACACCATTAATTATGCGAAAAGCTTGATCTCGCCAAAGGAGTACTACTGGAGTAGAAAGCGCCACAAAAAGTTTGGTCAGCTAGATTAGTATATTGAGGATGGGCAGAAAAAGAAACAAATGAATGCGTGGTAGCAGTTAATAACCAGAATAATTACTTACTTTTTTAGTAACGTGATCGTATACATTTTTTTTTGTACAATATATTCACATAAAATGTAATTGCAGGAAAGTTTAAGTAACATATTATAATGAGTCAAATGATATTATTACACCTTAATTCCCTCATTCAGGACAGATGAAGCAAGTTATGGACACCTTTTTTTGCCTCCGGACACCTTAGATCATAGATTCTAGTGATGCCAGAAATCGTTTTGGTATAAAATTAAATCTTGTTTCAATTTTATTTATTATTCCTGATCCGGAAGGAACCTTTCTCTTTTCTTGGTATAAAGAAAGACAAATAGATCTTAGAGGATAGGTCTCACCCTATTGTTACCTACTGTAATATTGTAGAGAAGCTTTTGCCTTTTTCTACCATTGGGTGCAATGAAACTAAATAAATCACTATTTAAAAGGAAACAATTGAGGTTTCAACAAACTAAACTGACGGAATACATATCATGAAACTGTGAATATTCTTACACTCTATCCTTGTACGTATTTTAATTTTATAATTTTAATACACACACATATATATATATATATATTATAAAAGTACGAATACAATGTTGGAAGACCAAAATAGCCTTAAAAATTTAAGTTAAGTAAGGACGAAATTGTAATCACCTCCAATATGGTATTAAAGTTTGGATGAGCTAATACGTAGGATATATGATGAAACCGAATATGGATTTGCCACCACACCCCTAATTATGAAGCAAATCGAATCCAACTTTTATCAGAAAGGTATATTCATAAAAAGTTTTTTTTAAGAATAAAAATAAAAAAACTCTTGTGCCAAATCTTCCGAATTTTTAGGAGAAACATTCCTATTCATATTAATCGTACAACTTTTGTTTCTTCTCAGTTTTTAATAATTTGATTCTCTACTAAATTTTTGAAAGCTAAAGTATTACTTCAATGAGATAATCTTTATTGGATAAAATTATACGTTTAGAATTTCACTTGATGCTCAGAATTTTGAAGTTCATTTACAATAATTTTTTTATTTATGTTATCTATAACCTTATAGTGTTGACTAACTTTATGCACCTTTTTAAGCTCATGGTTATTTTAACTTAACATTAATATTAAGCCCAATTTAGTGATTATTACAATTTAATCAGCTGAAACTTTAATATTACTTAAACTTGAGTTTTACAAAAATTACTATATCAAATACAAATAGTTAGGACTACAATACTCAGGATTAGGTCTTTAAAATCAAGTTAGACACTTAAGTTTACTCATACAGGACTTTTTATTAGCAATAAAAGCCTCTTACCGAATAAGATATATATCATAAATATTCTTATGTGTTTTTCATGAAACTAAAGATTAGATAAAAATAGAAAATTCCTTAATCGATCACTCTAGATATGTAGAGTTACTTGCAATAATAATTAACTATTTATAGCAGTATGATTTTGAAACCTTAATAGAGTAAGTAACATATTATAATAAGTTAGATTGTAAGATTGTAAAATTCTTTTACACTGTTAAAATATATAACTTAACTCATAGTAATTATTTTTCATTCTTCATTACTTACGTAAATATGTTAAAGTTCTTGCTAATTTATCGATTTTAGTCACTTGAATTAATAATCCAACTAAACTGAAAAATTTATTTGTTTCTTTATTATTTCTTAATGTTAAAAACTTATTTTTCGCACAGGACTTTGTAATATTAATAGCGTGAAGTACATTTCACGTGTCACAAATGTTGATAGATAAACTAACAAGTAATGCTAGATGAACTTTAATTCCTTTTACAAACTAAAATCGGATGCACATTTAGGTTCATGATTATATAAATACGAATTAAAACTATAAAAGTCAAATCGAAATAATTTTTCAAAAATTACGTCAGTCTAAAGATAATTTTTATATGAGTTATCACAATTGTTCACCAAAAAGATTAGATTAGACCAAAATTTTAAAATAATATCTTATGTTAATACCAAATCAAATGCCCCTAAAGAATAGTATTTTTTTTGTAAGGGAAATAAGAAGCTTTGGATGAATTCTGCTACCAATCAAAGAGGGGATGTTAATAAGTCGTTTGTGAAAAAGTAACGAATTCTCAAGTGCTACAAGTATTTTTAAAATTAATAAAAATAAAGACGGTAAACATAAACTTATGAGATTACATTTATGACATCAAACTAAAAAGATCCTACTACCAAATCCTATAAAAGCAAGAACATATTTAATATTTGGTGATTTATTACTTCTCGTTGAGAGAATGAATAATTATAAGAGGTGATGTGACCCTCCTTCCAGAACAATTAATCGTTGAACACATTGGTACTAGCAGTGCTGAAGATTTCTCAATAAGGGAATTCTTAAATATGAATACGTGCATGGATGTCGAGTAAGATGAAAAGTCAATTTTAGTGTTTCGTGAATGTGACTATAAATTGTGATATGNTAAGAAATTTTTTATTTTTTGCTTCTTTTGATTGGTAGGACATGACAAGAAAATTTATGGTCTACTAAAACACGTCTAATAAAGAATTACCCACCAATAAACTCATGATGCTCGAAATATGTTCTTAAACTTTTGCATGGTAACTCATCTAGCAGCATTTTTATGAAACTTTTGGAGAAGTGCCTAAAACCTGAGTTTGCAATGATTTGAGGAACAAAACTTTTTATGATTGAGCTGTTGATTAATTTGCATTCCTTCAAATTTAGCTTACAACCTAATTATTCTTTCTAAATTTCTAATGCTTTATACGACATCTTTTTGATTCAACACATTTGTTGATCATTAATGGAATAACATCAACTGTGTTTTTATATAATTCTTTCTTCTTCGGTATATTTTCAATTGATAGTTCATAGAAAGTAGTATGTATATATAATCTGAAGGCAACATATGTAAAAGCGTAAATCATGAAAAGACAACACCAATGAGCAGAAAGCTTAAAATCCTTTGTCAAAGGTTTTTAAGGGAAGATCAATTCAGTGAAAAATCGTCACAAAACAGACAAGAAAATAACTACAAAGTTCCACAGAGAAGACTGATTTAACTATCTATTAGTAATTGGGAACATGTTGTCGTCAGCTGATCATACCCCAAACACATGATGTACTACAACAAAATAGGCTCCCACAACAAAGGCATCACTCCATCTGTGTCAAAAACAGCAACCAAAAACTAAATTAATAAGTATGTTCAGCACCTACCATAATCTGACACAACAACAACAATAACAACGACCCAGTGAAATTCCACTAGTGGGATCTGGGGATGATAGTATGTACACAGACCTTACCCCGTTACCTTGTTTTGTTCTTCCTAAAATTATAAGGTTCTATGTGGAAGCAACAGGAAGAGGTCTTACGTAGAGAGGATGAAAGAACTCAAACTTCCGGCATAATGGACAGGAAAACTTAAATTCTATAGTAATACCCTTTGTCGTTTTGCATGCGATGGGCTTTCAGCAAAATCAGCTGTTTGTCGATGAGAGGTCCCAACATCTTCATTAGCAGGCTGCACAAACACGTCGATGCTTAGACTGAAAGCTGAGTCTATGCTAGTTGCGTAAGTGTAGAGCATAAGATTGTACTATTTAACATTCAAGGGGCAAAATACACTTACTTCACCAGCTGATTCATAAGCACTTCTTGCTTCTATAATTGATGGTCCAGAAGATACACCTAATATCCCTGCGTTGTCAACGACATTATTCACAGTTGCACCTGCAGGTGTAGCAGCTTGAAGTTCACCACTAAGGAACATACTTCTCAAAAATTGTCTAACTTCCGTAGGTACGCCACTTCCTGGTGGCACCTGAACTTCACTTTGATTAGCTGTGGCAACTATGGGTCTAAGAAAGTATCTGGTGTATCTGACTCATAGCATATTGGGTGCTGGTCTTCCTAATTAAGAATAAAGATCATAGAATGATCTTTGAAAAATATTTTAAACCAAATTCAGGGACTCGACGAGATCTAGATGCTTTTATCCCTTTTTATAGCAGTAAAACGCCAATGCATCTTCAAAATTTCTATTTTGGATACCTCTTCTAGTTGTTAGTAAATCCAACTTAGCTCTTAACCTCTTTACAGCCACTGACACTTTTTTCCTTTGATTTAAAAAGAAGAAGAAAAAAAACTTGATATTGAAACTGATATTTTTATTTTGAATAATAAGCATTGACCAAGAGACGAGTCTAAATGGAGAAACTAGTAAGTAATAATTTCACAATGGGACTATATTATTTCATTTCTATTTATGGTGCACATAAAACTACGCGTTCATCTTACCTTGCTCATTTGCCAGCGTACATAAATAATGTCAAATCTTATGAACTATCTACATAACGAACCTCCTATCATTTGTGTACCGACTTGCCTCTGGTGCAGCCTTGTATCATTATCACTTACTAAACCAGAGTTGATCAGCCTGTGTATTGTTGAGAGCAGCACAGAATAAAGTTCTTCCTGTTGACATACAGAACGTTGGATTTACAAAGTTTAATAGTCAGATATAGATTTGGTTTTAGTAGAGGAACAATGACGAGGCTACCTGGATGGACAGTGGACCCGAGTCGGTTATATAGACTGCAGGGCCAGCGTTAACTACGGCATGACTCTGAAAACAATAACAAGCATGGTCATGTTATTAAGAGGAAAAAATAATCCATTTAGTAGAGAGCAAAGTATAGTACCGCATTGTCACCCATTTGGACTCCCATCACTGCGCGGCCAAGTTCAAGAAAATATGCACCTAGATTGTTGAACATTGTTCCGATTGTTGTCTGTGCATTTAACTGGGTTCCCTGGCGCACCCTCGGATCACCCACGTTCAGATTTTGGCGCAGATCCCTTTCCAATTCCTATGCCAACAGAAACTCCAACCAGTCAAAAATGTTGGGCTGATCTTAGAACATTAGAAGGAATTGGAGAGCAGTTAATAAAACATAAGCAGGAACAAGCACTTACGAGAAAGCGCTGTGCAGTTTGGCTAATAAGCATATCCCTAGTGGACGACAGCAGTCTTGCTAATTGTTCTACTTCTGGAATTCCTTGTGAAGGAGTGAAAGTATTGGATGCACTTCCGAGTACCTCATTCGTATTGTTTTCTGTTCCTGATTATAGAAAATGAAGAACAGATTAACTATGACCCTCTGATCCACATACCTCTAAAGTGAAAGGAAAACATAAAAGAGGAAGAGACCTGACCGTTCATACTATATTCTCGTCTCATTATGCTGAGATATCGTGATAAACTTTCTATAGAGTTGGGGATTTCCTGCAACAATCAGACTATTATACGGTACTTCTGTACAACCTAAATTACAAATTCCAAGAAGATACTACTATAATATTTTGAACTGCAGACACAACCCCCTCAATATTACGCTTTTGCGGAGGATGTATACACACATAAGCATATTGAAGAACAAGAACTATAAGGATGGTCAGTATGATAAATTGATAATATGCAAATGAAATCACCTGTTGAGTATCTGGAGAAATCTCATCAGTAGCAGCTGAGGTGGAGCATGTACAAGTACAACAGACAGGAGTAAGTAACAGCTAGCTCAAATTAGGCATTAGAACAAAATGAGTTAACTGAATAGAAATGTAAAGATACGAAGTATAATCTTCTTCGGCTAGAATAGAGAGAACTGATCATGAGCCGAAGGTCAAATGCATTAAAAATATTTGAGAAGTATTAAATGGTTTTGAAATTTTCTAATTCACTTGCAATACAAAAGAAATTAAACAAAGAACAACCAGTAAACAAATTCTAATGGATATTTAGGATGAGATTGTCTACCCAACTTCTCAACCAACATCATATATATTAAAGAAAGCTCATTACCAAAGGATGACATGCTCTGGACAGTGCAAATCAGATGCAAAGTATCACCATGTTGAATATCTGATTAGCGTTAAGACTCCAATGGGGAAAGAGTGGCTTGCTCTAGTGGTGAGCACCCTTCACTTCCAACCAAGAGGTCGTGAGTTCGAGTCACCCCAAGAGCAAGGTAGGGAGTTCTTGGAGGGAGGGAGCTGAGAGTCTATCGGAAACAGCCTCTCTACCCCAGGGTAGGGGTAGGGTCTGCGTATACACTACCCTCCCAAGACCCCATTAGTGGGATTATACTGGGTTGTTGTTGTTGTTGTTGTTGTTTACTCCAATAGGGAAAGAAATAATAAGATCAAGAGACACAGGAACACTACTTTGAGAAACTACTGTGGTAGCAAGCAAAATTGCGAAAGAACTTTACATTATACTATACTAAAGATGATTATACATAAAGTGAATAAAAAGGATACTGTATGAAGAAAGGAGGTCATCATCCTGTAAGACTTTTCCACAATAGATTAGACGCTGTTGTTCCATTGGCATCCCAATCAAAAGATATACGTGTTCTTTCAAGTTCCATACTCTCCTCTGCATGACATCACAAATGGAGATCAGCACATAACCAAGAACCTTTTTTAGTGATTAAAAAAGCGAATGCATGCGTAAACTACGTGGTTGTGCAAACGAATATAACATGGTTTAGTGTTAAACATGCACAATTAATGTATCACACAAATTTCTTTTACTTAAAGAAATAGGAAATAGTTCAGAAGTTTGCTATCCATCTGAAACAAATAGCCCTTAGCGGAGGTAAGTACCTGATTGCTAATACGCAAATTGTGGGTTTCAGAACTCATAGTTTTTACTTTTATCTCAATCGTCGTATCAATGCCTTCAGCTTTATGGCCCTCAGAAGCTTCACCAGTGTGAGTCATTTCCTTTCAACAGCTTAAGCACCTGAAACAGGTAAAAGTAATCTATAGTGTTTCTCGATTGTTTATGTGTTCAACATGTATATAAGATAACGGGGACTACCAGTTGACTGTGCGATCCATCCTCAATATCAATACGAGAGCAGAAATTTACAATGAAAATGAAACTTAAGAAGCAAGAACCGAGGAGAAAGTAAATACTTTTTCGATACAGATAGTACGTCTAGAGGAGAATAATATAACGCTTGCAACTAGCCAAAGAAAAGAAGCCGAATGAGTAGTTAACAAAAACAATTATATTTCATGAAGAGTTTCAGAACATCTATCCAAGCAAGCGGTATGAATGTTTAGCCAACTTTCAATTATGATGCATATCGTCAATATGGAGTATAGGGAAAACTTAACAAGTTAGCTTCCAGTTAAACAGCAACTAGTCTTAACCAGACGGAAAGAAACATTTATTTGAGATTCAGTCCTGTTTAACTTGCAGTAATGAATTTATACGTACATATTATATGGAAATCTATTATTAGTTTAGAGCTTGTTAAGATTATAATGTCAACTTACATTGTGTAACACCCAAGACTATAGACAGAGTCCCACATCGGCAAAACACAAGCGGGATGCTTGGTATATAAGTTAACAAGCCTTAGACCCTAGTGACGCGTTTTAAACCCGTGAGGGACTAGGCCCAGGGCGAACAATATCACTAGCGGGCTGGGCTGTTACAGATGGTATCAGAGCCACTCTTGTATCAGCCTTGCCGATGGTGGGTCAGAGTTCAACTGAGTTTAGGCAAATCTCGGTTAGGTGGGGCAAACCTTAGTGCTGAGTCTAGGCAAATCCTATGCGGTGGGGCAAACCTAAGCGAGGACGCTGAGTCCATAAGAGGGGGTGTATGTAACACCCCAGACTTTAGATAGAGTCCCACATCGGCAAAACACAAGAGAGATGCTGGGTATATAAGTTAACAAGCCTTAGACCCTAGTGACGCGTTTTAAACCCGTGAGGGCCTAGGCCCAGAGCTAAATTTAAATCCAACAATCAAGTAAACAACAAATTCATGAAAGTTACTTGTTGAGGACGCTGAGTTCATAAGAGGGGGTGTATGTAACACCCCAGACTTTAGACAGAGTCCCACATCGGCAAAACACAAGAGAGATGCTGGGTATATAAGTTAACAAGCCTTAGACCCTAGTGACGCGTTTTAAACCCGTGAGGGCCTAGGCCCAAAGCTAAATTTAAATCCAACAATCAAGTAAACAACAAATTCATGAAAGTTACTTGTTTCATTCTACGGCTAAGATAAAATGAAATTCATTTCCCAAAGGGTAAACATCACATTTCGAACATTGATACATGGTATGTAAGTAGAGAAGGGTAGAGGCGGGGGCCCATATTTTTTGAATCTTGCACCACTGGCCCTCGGGATATCTCTGTTCTTAAGCGAAAGAAAATGAACCTTAATGATTATTGAAACCGAAGAGACCAAGAAAGTTTTCAACACAAAACAACAACAACAACAACAACAACAACCCAGTATAATCCCACATGTGGGGTCTGGGGAGGTTAGTGTGTAAGTAGACCTTATCCCTGACCCGGAGGGTAGAGAGGCTGTTTCCGAAAGCTTTCAACACAAAGCACCACTTAATTAGCTAATGAAATTCTCTATGAGAAAGACCAAATGCTATCACGAAAAATTGCTCATTTCATATCCTCTCTGCGTTCATATCTGATTTTGAAGCACACAACAAACTAAAATGCTTAAAGGAAAAGCTCTTTTATCAGAGTCCAGATTGAAAAAGTTAATTAAGATAAACACCAATCTTATCATCCATATAAAGACATTCCCATATATGGGGGATTTTTTTATACATAAACTGAATGTAGGGGTTAGAAATCAAGACTTCAAGAAGGAAAAAGAAAACGATTCAGATAGAAACAATCAAACTAAAAATTATAAGAAGCTTTATCAAAAACCTGAAAACACCCAAAAAATTCATCACTCAATTCACTGAAAAAACACAGTAAAATCACTGGGTAATAATAACCTGAAGAAAAAGAGAAGAAACTTATGTAACGCCCAGAAGGAGAGAATTGTTGAATGTGAACAGCTATATATGAAGAAGGCTTACTCTTTTTGTCTTTGCTGGACATTTATTCTGTAATCCATTTTGGATTGTGCCTACTCTTACACTTCTTCAACTTCGTGGCAATTGAGGCAATGTTTTGCAGCTTCACTTTTTTTTTTTCTTTCTTTTGACTATATGTTTGAAGCATCAACAGTCCAAAATTTACATATTCAGATACTCTACAAAAAGTACTATAGGATAGAATAATTACCCATTCAAAAATTTTAAAAAGTCATAGTACAAATCGTAATCAAATAAAAAATTGTTTGACTCTCGAAACTCAAACAGTGTCATCTATATTAGCACGGATGAAGTATATAATTTAAAGTTTCTTTTCACCTATTAGCAGTGTATTAAAATTTGTATTAGAAATGAATTTAATAGTGATATTCATGCTTATCATTATAGATTTAAACATTGTTTGGGTGAATAAAGTGAAAAATTAAAATTTCATTGTTTGGATTTTCTTGAATAGATATCATGATTTATTGAAATTGTTGATAAACTGAGATTGGAGTTGGCTTGGGATATTATTTAGAAGTTGTGGTTAAAATTTAAAGCTTTCGCTAAATATTTTAGCTATTTGATGATGTTTTTCATGAGTTAAATTTCTTAGGAGGACGAAATTTAATTTTTGTATAATATATTATACAATATTAAAACAAGTATATATGTTGTATAATATTATATATTAGGTGTAAAAATACTGTACAAAAAAAATAATGAGTTATGCAACTGTAAACTTGAAACATGACTACGTAGGTACAATGTAGTGTAGTGAGTTGTATTTTTGTTAAAATCTCTCTATTGAATACATATTTTTTAAATTTACAATTAAAAGAATATGTGTAATAACTGCCCTAGGCCAGTTTAGGAGTGTGCATAATTTGGTATGTTCCAAATTATAGAACAAAAACAAAAATTCGTATTTCAATTTTGGTATTTGGTTTAAAATTTTTAAAAATTGAATATTTAGAAAAACAATGCCGAAACGAATATTATATTAGAATACATACTGTATACACACAATACATATATATTAGATGATCTTGTGCAAAATGTGAAGTGTTAGTTAGCGTGGCCAAGAACTGTACATACTTAAATTCACAATTTTGATTATAGGGAAAGGACATAAATATTCCTCCAAATTATGGTAGAAATTTTCAGTTATACAGTTAATCTTTGCAAGGGTCTTATTTCCCCTTTAAAATCTTTTGAAACAGAATAAATACAGTACCCTTGGATGGTGAGTTGGCATAGAGAGTGCTCACTCTATTGAAAGCGTGTGAGAGGCAAAAAAAAATAAAAAATTAATGGCATGACCACTTAAACTTGTACCAGTTTGCCAATCCGGTAAACAAACTTATACATATTTCATTTTGACACCTCAACTTGATGAACCGAATACAAATAAATACTTCTGATTGAACGCGGTTTTCACTCGCCGTGACATAGATGACACGTTACATACTAAGTTTTTTATTCTTGACATGTGTAAAATGTGGGGCCTACTTTTTAAAAAACACAATTTTCCAGATTTTAAATTTATTTTCTTTTCATCTCTTCCTCTTCACCATAGCAACAACGATCCTTCTAAGACATAACCTTCAACCATCAGTGAGAACCACAAATTGAATACAATAATAGTGCTGAGGAGGTGTCCAAACTGGAATAACAACTTCAAGAACGCGGGGAAGGGTCACCATAAATGAAAATGAGATATGTGGGTTCATCAACACTAGCACCAAATAGTGGCAAATATTTCTGGTGGAGTTGGCCGGAGGAACGATCTATAGAGAACAAATTTACTTTTCTATAGGTTTAATTTCAGATGTTTGAGAAGTGTTTGTAGTGTATTAGGGTGTTATCTAAAAGAAGTGGACAACGATAGGTAGTCGTCGGTGAAGTGTTTTAGGCCATAAGCTCCCTCTTTTATGGTAAAATATGATGATGGTCATGTTCTGATTTTTGTGGTGGTGCTTGCCGATTTTAGTCGCCTGCGATGAAGGTTCTGGTAGTCTTACATTTAAGGTGATTTTTCATGGTCAAGATAGAAAGTAGAGGTTGTTGTGGTAGAATGTTTTCTTAAAATCTTTTTTGTTGGTCGGGCCATAAGCTCCCTCTTTTTGATTTTGATGTAATAACACGACTGCGGACCGGAACCTCGACGGAACGGCATCTCAATCGGCTCTTCACCTCGGTATACTCCATCACTATTCCTACTTCTGAACTACACGCGACCTGATTCCTTTATAGCCAAGGATATGTAGGCAGCTCAGATACCAGAGCTCGGTCACATTCTCCTTTCTTTTAGCTTTTGGTCTCTGTAAATAAAGGTCGGGTCAAAAAAACTGTCTAGTCGTTCTTTGTCTGAAAATACTTCGTGTTTCCAGTCAAAGAGGGGCAACTGTGTCATTTTTTACCCTCCCTGAGATTTCACACATGTTAGCGTAAATATTGAATTTAGGTTTAATATCGCTATTTTAAATAGTTTTGACTCTTTTACTTTATTTTATCACAAAAATAAAAATTACAAAAATATTTTTCATCGTTAGGTTAAAGTCAATTAGTATATTTATATTTATAGTATTATAACATTTGAAAATATAAAAAATTAAATAAAAATAATGTCACTTTTAGTATTTAGTTTTATTCTAGTAATTTATTTTAATTGGAAATGATTTCACAATTTTATAGTTATTATTTTAGGAATTAATATTTTTTAGTCTACTAGAGTTAAAGGCCACTTTTTAAGGTAAATTTGGCCCAATTCGAATCTAGCCCATAATAACCCAAGCCCAATACCCCTAAAACCCGAAAAAGACACTTAAAACAACCCCAAACCTATCTTCTTATATACACACACTAGACCAAAAACCAAAAGGAGGGATCAGCCGTTTTTAGACCTAGGGACAAAAAAAATCGGCAGCCCTTGATCATCTTCTACAGACCCCTCATCTTGGATCATCTTCTTCAGAAGAAAAAAGCCATCAGCTGTGACCCCTAACCAAAGGACCATCTCCATCATCTTCACAAAAAGAAGCAGCCATGAGAGATTCTAAGTTTGGAGGATAGCCGTTTGGACAAAAACAGAAGCTGGAGATAATCTTCTCCAACAGATCCACACCCAAAAAACACCAAACGACCTTCTTCTCCATCAAGACCAAACCTTCAGCACCCTTCTTCTTCAACACAAAAAGCCCTAGAGATAAAGAGAACAAACTCAGCAACCGCAGGACCATCTTCCTCAGCGCACCACAATCAGGCATTCCCTCTCCTTCATCTACACAAAAAATGACTCATCCCCATAACTCTCAGCCTACACCCAACCTTCTTCACCTCTCAAGACCGCTGCTTTCCTCCAGCAAACTCCTGAAAAACAATTGAACACCCAGCGACCCATCTCCTTAACTCCGACGAGCCGCAACGTCTTCATCACTTCACAGTCGATAAAACTACCTTTAATTCCAGGTCACAACCAGTTTTAAGGGTCTGAAAATCTAGGCTTAAGCATTGCACGATAACATAAAGCAATCGTATTGTGATGACCCAGCCGGTCGTTTTAAGAATTAACACCCTGATCCCCTATTAACTTCTTTCCCCGTGTTTGTTTCTGCTATTGTGAGTTGCCAGGAGGATTTATTTGGAGTTTCGGAGAGTTTTGGGACACTTAGTCCCTTAATGAGAGTTTAAGTTGTAGAATTTGGGGCATAGTTGGAGCAGTGTGAAGACGACCTTGGAATGGAATTCCAATGGTTCCATTAGCTCCGTTGGGTGATTTCGGGCTTAGGGGCGTGTTTGGATTGTGTTTTGGAGGTCCGTAGCTAATTTAAGCTTGAAATGCCAAAAGTTAAATTTTTGGAAGTTTCCGGTTCAATAGTGAGATTTTGATCTAAGGGTTGGAATGAGATTCCGGAAGTTAGAGTAGCTCCTTAGTGTTGAATGTGACGTTTGTACAAAATTTCAGGTCATTCGAAAGAGGGTTGATAGACTTTTTGATTGAAAGCGTAATTTGAGAGTTTTTAGATTTCTTAGGCTTGGATTCAATGTTAATTGGTTGATTCGATGTTGTTTGTGGTATTTTGAAGGTTTGTATAAGTTTGGATATTGGTATATGACTTGTTCGTGCCTTCGGTTGAGGTCCCGGCCTCGGGATGATTTCGGATGGTTAACGGGATGTTTGAAGTTGGGAATTTACAGTTGAAGCTACTGAGTTGCCATCATAACCGCACATGCGTGTGTGGTACTGTAGGTGCGGAACCGCAAAAGTGGCTGGGAGACTGCAGATGCGGCCAGATGAGGAAAGGCTAGAAGCCGCAGGTGCGGAACTATCCACGCACCTGCGTGACCACATATGCGGTAATGTGGTCACATGTGCGGAAATGGGAATTTAATGAAAAGTCGCAGGTGCGACTTGGTCTCCGCGGAAGCGGGGACGCAGATGCGGTCCTAGGGCCACAGGTGTGGTCCCAGGGTCGCAGGTGCGGTTTCACTGATTAGAAAAAGGGCAGAAACGAGGGTTTAGTTTCAAAACTTGGAAAATTAATTTGGGAGCTCAGGATTGGCGATTTTGAGAGATTTTTACCTGGGTATTTGGGTAAGTAATTCTTACTCGGTTTTGATTAATTTCCACGAATCTATGCTTAAATTCATCCTTTAAATTCGAATTTGGGGTGGAAAAATTAGAGAAAAGATAGAAAAGTTCCTAGACCTAACTTTTGAGTTTGGATCAAGATTTTGATGTCATATTGGAGTAATTTCTATATATATGAACTCATGAGAGTATGAGGTTTTTGAATTTGTAAATTTTACCCTATTCCGAGACGTGGGCCCGAGGGGCGTTTTGGTTATTTTTCTTAATTTCGCGTATTAGCTTAGAATTAAGTAGTGGAATCAATTACTTGAAGTTATATTTACATTATGCAATTGAATTGAATAGATTTGGGCCATTTGGAGTTGATTACTCATGGAAAGAGTGTGGTTTCGGGTTGATTTTGAGCCGGTTCGAGGTAAGTGACTTGTCTAACCTTGTGTGGAGGAAACTCCCCTTAGGATTTGGTATTTTTGATATTTGAAATACCTTGTACGTAAGGTGACGAGTGTGTACTTGTGCTAATTGTTGGAAATCCTGTTTTCATTAAATAACTTTAATTGTGTTTTTTCGTTCTTGTTTATT